CTAAAAATAACCTCGACTGGGGCGAAAAATATGCGAACGTACCCACCAACTACCAAGCGACCACCGCTGGCGATCTATTCTTCCACGCCTTCGATCGATTTTTCACTTTGAAGCACTTATTGGCTTCGTCAGGGCAGCCGATGTGACTCCTCGTCTCGAGACGAGGAAGAGAAGGGGAATCCATTTTTATTGGAGACAAACGTTGACCTTGGACGTCGTTCTCATGGATTAGGCCGCTTCGGTTATTCTTGAAACCTTCATCCAGGGCACACGGGGACTCTGGTGCTCTTTTGGAATCTGATGCGCTCTTCCGATAACCTCTGTTACGAGTATGCTCCCTGATGACTCAATCGAGAGCTAGGGCCATCTAAAACGATTCAATTCGAGGAGTCCTGGAAGCATCTGGACCTCGCTCAAGCGCGGTCCCCACGCCCATTCATGGTGGTTTTAGCAGCAGCGGTCCGGATATGGGAAACTTGAAAAAATAAGTCAAGTAGATTCCGCATAGAGTTCAAAGGGTCCCCGAGCGAGGAGCAGAGAACGACGACATCTGGAGCGAAGCCTTGACACGCGAAGCCTCCGCATCTCAGCAACATTTCAAGGATCGTGGGCTCCCGCCGTAACTCTAATGACATCACGGGCACACGATGTCTTCTCTCGAGAATCGCTCTTTCCCACCGCTTCCCTGAATTCTTTTTAGATTCAGATCTTCTCAGCTGCCGAAGCAGCGCGAGCCTGTCTGGTGACCCTTGACGCCCCCGGGGAGCTAGTCCCCGGTGCCTAGCAGGGCAAGCCGCGGAGCTCGTCTAGGGTTTACGGGCGTCGGCGTCGGTTCCAATCTCGATGACCACCAAGCCGGCGACCCGAATTTTTTGTTGCCTGCTCCTAGACCCCTTCGCCACACCGGATGTCGACGCTGCAGCGCTGCTGTCACATCATCACTCCCCATCGTAGTGAGTGAGAGAGATGCTCTGATTTGAGAATGCAAACGAATGAGGGAAAATAGGAAACCAGCTCGACGGTGGGTAGAAAATGAACGCTCCCCTCCCAAACCCCCTTCGTCACATCGTCCTTGAGGAGCGCTAATGACTTATTTCGCCTTCACTCAAATGCTCCTCCGCTCATTAACATCCAAGATCTTCCTGTTTGTTCCGCCGAAAGGAAAGGACACGGGAACGAAATTCCGAATGTGGAAGTACCCCCTTTCCCTCTGTCACCGATTGCGCCCCTCTTGGGAAAACGGTCCTCGATTCCTCCGGAGCCTCGACGGCAAGCTTCGCCAAGCGATGCTCGGAGCTTCCCGTGTAAACAGTAGGCGGCTTAAAATGAAAGCTCGAAGCGAAGAAGTAGCAAGCAGAGCGTCGTCTTAGTTCTATCCATCTATGGTCGAGTGGAGAAGTGGTCTAAGCGGCTTTGAACCTCTTCCGTTGTGTTTTTCTTTCTCCGACTAGTCTCAAGCTGCGCCAACCTTGGCACTCTGCTCGCCGCTCATCGGCGGTTCGCTCGGTGTCCATTTGATCGATACGCTTTTCGTTTATCCATCTACCTCCCCGTCTTTTCTGAGTGAGGAGTTGCCTCCGATCCATCAGCTATCTCCCGCTCATTCGGCCTTGTGGAGCTCAGGGGAATTGTTGCGCCGCTCCAACCTGAACAAAGCTACACCGAACGGCGTCCTTGAGAAGCAGACCTCTAAGATGATGAGACGCAGAAAGCGATTCGCAGATCTTTAAAGCACATCCAGAGCTGATTTCGCCGGGCTCCGGTCTAGATCTCGTTGGCCGACAAAGAGGATTTCCGGAAAGAAATAAGCGCCAGTCGGGGTGGATGGAAGGAGCACACCTTGGATTTGGGGAATCGCGCCTTTCCCCTCGAACCCCTCAAGATACAGGAATTGAATTACGACTACTCCCTCCACAACGAGGGGAGAATCGTTCGGAACTCGCATTGTCTCGATCGGTGCAGGGAAGAAAAGTATTGTTGCTCGAAAAGGTTTGTCTCTCGGACAGACACAATATCGCGTATTTTCCGCCCCGGAGAAAAACTATCGCGTCCACGACTCGACAAGGCCCAAGTTCCGCATGCTCATGGATCCGCTCAATCGATCCTTCGTCCTCGAGATTCCGGCGGTGAGCGACACTTACGGCATTGGCTCCCTGGCAGCGATTTTGATTGGCACAAGAGCCTCGCAAGTGATATTCGTCCTTCATCGACATTCAAGGTCACATCTGCTCCCCGCCAGCTTCGGGAATTCCATCGGCGACGTACTTATTCCTAGAGCACATTCATAGCGCATCTTCGGGTGGGACCAAGCTCGTATTCCTCTCGGCGTTTTTAAAGCAGAATTTTGAAGTCGACACCCCTGGTAGCTTCGTCGATGTTGTTATTTCGGTCGCGTGGCAGTAAAATTCTCCAGACTTGGCAGGCTCCGTCGTTGATCCTTCTCGGGGACCAAAGCTTGGTAGGGAGCCAAGAGTCTTTTGTGTCAGACAAGCGTCGGAAAACGCTGTTCGTGTTCCTCTTCTGCTCTTCCTTTGAGGCGCACAGACACACTCACATGGAACGAGCAGCCGAGCTAACGATGATTTGTGATAATTCTAACACGAAACAACCACTAAACAATGTCACGCACTAAATATATTAGGATCCGATCTCAATGCCTGATCACTCGCACCATGAGCCGCTGCCGCAGCAAGAGGGGAACGAATTCGGCGAGGTCCCAAGGTCTCGGTGGGATAATTTCCTCCTGATGATGATTCGAACGCCGAGAACCGGAAAACTGAGAACGGAGTGTCTCTACATCCGCCCCGTACATCTCGACAGGCGACGCGTCTCCCACCGTCTCTCTGCGTCTCGGAACAGCTGACGCCAGCGGAGCCGTGACAGCTGGCGTGTTACGATGAAATGAAGGAATGTTGTCGCGTTTTTGATGAAGCTCACAGTCTTCCCGTCGAGGATGTAGAACTCTACCTGGCTCCGATGATAATCGACGATTGATAATGGAATATTAATTCAATTCGTTTTTCTCTGCGCTCTTCTACATCGCCGGATGATTCAGAAGACCATCCGAGCAGAAAACCTACCGATTACGAATGTATTTGCTCGACGAGTCTCTGACGCTCCGAGACAGAAGTGCGGGAGGGGTGTGGGGAGCCGGAGACACTCGTGGGGCTGGTACGGAGGAAGACATTGTGGGAACGAACGAACGGACGAGAAAGCGAACGTGGGGCTCGGAGTAATGGGAAGGCGCTCGAAAGCCTCAGGGACTTTGGAGCTAAAATGAAATTAAAAATTGAGTCGGGATCGACGAGGGGAATTTCGGTGGGATGGCTCGGCGGACGAGCGACTGGTAAAGCGGAGAACACATTGTTCATTTTCCCTCTTCAGGCAGCAGCGAGAGCCCACCCGTACCATGTATCCACTCTGTGTACGAAATCGAACACGAGGCGCATAAGAGGGAACTCGATAGCTTTCAATGTTCCGGAAGGAACTCGTTGAAGCGGATACTGTTCCCTCGTTCTGACAGTTGTCCGATTTTGACAAGCTTCCCCGCGTAGAACGTAGAGCAACGCCTCGAATGCAAGTGAATTCGAAGGCGCCGCGGTCGTTCTTCTCCCTGAACTCCGGTGTATGCGGTCTCTCATCCCCGTCCGATGGGAAGGGGGTACTCGAGAGATTTTCAGGCTCCTCCCACGAAGATGTCATGAGTGATCGAGAGGCCGCGAATACCCAGTTCCCCTGAAACAGCGCCGCAGCGAGGGGGAGCAGGCGGAATCATGTAGCGCCGGTAGATGATGGAATCGTAATGGCATCAAGGGAGGATACGAGCCTTGCGTGCGTGGGTGTAGTTTGCTTCCCGGAACGATCTCGTGATTGGGCCCAGGTTCGCCGAGAATCGGGGAAAAATCATGATTCATCTCTCGGGTGTCGTCGTCTGCTGAGTAAATTCCGAGAACCGCAACCCTGAATCTATAGCGTTCGCTTTCTGAATCGAGCGCTTCCAATTAGGTTGAAGCACCCAATCGTTCTCGAGCCTCGTCCAGCATTCGTGGGAGACGCGGCGCCCGCTCTCCTCTGAGACGGTTCAGGATTTCTCGGGAATGATTCCAATGAACGGCGAGCCAATTGTCGATATTCCTGTCCCGTAATATTCTTGATGCGTCGGCGTTGGTCGTCTTCCTTACGTCAGCGGATCAGACCATAGTTTTCCTTCCGGAACGAGTTCCGGCTTGAATCCAGTCCTCCTCAAAATATCTCCTCGAGTCGGCAAACTGAGCCGCGAGGAAAGAGAAGCTTCCCATGCCGGCAAGAGCTGATTCTGCTCGTGGACTCCGAGCCTCGGACCTTTTCTCATCTACCAATGCGGAAGAGATGTTCCGGAGTGTGGAACCTGTTGCCATGTCTCGCTCATCTCCGATTCGTGAGTTCTTGAGTATGCTGGAGCTTTCGGAACTCGACGTTATTACAGCGGAGATTCTGCTCGAGCCTTCCCCGAGTCCGATGATTTCATCGATTGATGGGTATTCGAAACTGGTACGTCCCAGAACCAGGCACAATACATATCGTGTGTCGCTCTGCACCGGGGCGCTCACAGCATAGTTGCGTCGATCCTGTTCTCGAGCGCTGCCATCCAGGGGGAACGTACACAGCTCGAGAAACGGTGGGGAAAATTCCACAGTGCGTCCCCCTATTCGAATTCTCGAGAATGATCTAACAATAGCGAAGGATGACTCTCCCTAGAGATGAGGGAATGCCAACTGTATTTTTTGTCTGAAGAGCGCCCCCAAAGGGGCCGGGCTGCTTCGTTGGCCCAGCTGGAAGCGGAAACCTGAGGCACGTATATTCCGAGGTCGGAGGAAGAGGAAGCAGCATTCGAGCCCGAATTCCGTTTGAAGCAATCGGGACATATCCGGAATACACAGGAGCGCTGCCAGGGGGTATCTGTCTTAGCTTCGAGAGACGACGTCGGTACTATGCTATCGGTCGCTGCGAAGTGAGAGAGCGGAGCCATGTTTGTGTGGTGCGAGTGTCTGCGGTGCTGAAGCTTCAGTTCCGAAAACCGAGTTCTGCGTTTTGTGACCTACGTAGGATCGGAATCTCGCTGAGAATAAAGTCCAGCTTTGCGAGTGGCGGACATTGCATTTCAATCACGACCGGTTCTCCGCAACCTCTCTTTGGAAGTTCGCCCGAAATGATCGTCTGAGGCGTCAGTCCACAGTGAAGACTTTCTGAACGGTGAGCTGAGATCGATGTCCATGGAATGGTGACAGTAGGGAACTATTATGAGCTCTCGTGACATTAGCTCGGCCGTTCCCCCCATACGCTTCCTCCGTGCTGAATCGAGGGCTCCTCCTCTAATCCGGCGAAACTTGACAACTTTCGTCCGGGTTCGCTTAGAGCTCTCATTCAGCTAGCGGGATTGAAGTTCATGATCTCCCAGCAGAATTTTCTGACGCACAGAGACTTCTCGGAGGAAGTTCACCCAGGCCGTCGCCATGGAAATTCGGAACTTCGTCCTCCAAACTCGTAATCAATTCTTTCTGTTTCTTTCCCTGGACGATTGAGCTCCGTCTGTGGAATTTCGAGTTTTGCGGATGTACGGTTCTCGATTTCCATGTTCAGGGTTTTCTGTGCAGTGAAATGCCGCGGGAGCATGCGAGACTCTGGGACTATTCTCTAAATATCCTTCTCCGCCAGTATTTCCAGGAGTGGAGGAGTTCGGAGCGAGGAAAGATGCGAGCTATCCTGTTAATTACTGCCTTGGTGGCGCTGAGCGAGGCTTCGAGCCTCGTCTCCAAGGCTCACGTTCGCATGTTCTCGTGTGGAAAACTCCATTATAGGACGTTCCACTTGGACCAACGACACGATGCGTTGTATGTGGGTTCAATGGATCGAATTTTCAAGCTCCCCACAAAGGACATCAATCGTACAAGGTTCGAACCGGGAGTCGAAGTCGACCGTAACCCCTATCGGGAATGATGCGATCGATTTTGAGTACACTTATTAAAACACTTGCGGCTTGAACCCTAGGTGTGACATGGACTCCCTCGCGCTGAATCCCCACAACGTGCAGAGTTGCGTTTCGAAAGGCAAGAGCGAGCAATATGAATGTCGGAACCATATCAAAGTCATTCAACCCATGGGACGGGACCGTCTCTACGTCTGCGGCACCAACGCTCAAAACCCCAAAGATTGGGTCGTTCATGTGAGTACATATCGACTGACGACTCGTGAGACTTTTACCCACCTGACCACTCTTCTCTAATCGGACTGGCTAGCCTCCCTGGACCGTCGCTCACCAGAGAATTCCCTCCTTTTCCAGGCAAACCTATCGCACATTCATGACACGATCCCGGGAATCGGGAGCGGCGTAGCGAAGTGTCCCTTCGATCCCGATGATAACTCAACCGCAGTTTGGGTCGAGAAGGGTAACCCAGGCGATCTTCCTGGGCTCTACTCGGGGACCGTAGCCGAATTCACGAAAGCCGACACGGTCATCTTCCGGACCGATTTGTTTGATCAGACCACTCGCCAGAAGAAGTATCACTTCAAAAGAACTATCAAATACGATTCCAAGTGGCTCGACAGGCCGAATTTCGTGGGCTCCTTCGACATAGGAGAATACGTGTACTTCTTCTTCCGTGAGAGCGCCGTCGAGTACATTAATTGCGGGAAATCGGTTTATTCCCGGGTGGCTCGGATCTGTAAACGAGACACCGGTGGCAAGAACATCCTCAACAAGAACTGGGCCACCTACCTGAAGGCCCGTCTCAACTGCTCGATTCCGGGCGATTATCCCTTCTATTTCAACGAGATCCAATCTGTCTACAAGATCCCCGGAGACGATCGCATGTTCTACGCCGTCTTCACTACGCCGATGAACGGTCTCTACGGATCAGCTGTGTGCGCGTTCTCGCTCGACTCGATCAACGAGGTGTTCAACGGCAAGTTCAAAGAACAAGAAACTTCATCTTCGGCATGGCTGCCGGTACTCTCGTCGAAGGTTCCAGAACCTCGACCCGGATCCTGTGTCAACGACACTCAGACCCTTCCTGATTCCGTGCTCAACTTCATACGGGGACATTCGCTCATGGACTCGGCTGTCGGTCATTCTGGAGGGCGTCCGGTCTACCATCGGTGAGTGGACTCGAAGTCCCTTCGATTTTTTTCTGTGGCGAGACGCTCAAGAGATTGTTTTGAAATTGAGTCACTCTGGGATCGGAGGGGCCCGAGAATCGCTAACATCGGTTCCGGATTCTCGCAGGGCCAACGTTGTGTTCACATCCCTCGCTGTGCACCGCGAAGAGGTTGAAGGCGTGGAGTACACGATTCATTACGCCGGGTCTCGGGATGGACGTGTTTTCAAACTGGTCCAAGGTAACACAGGGACCCAGCAGCCGTACTCGCATCTGGTGGACGTTATGCGCGTCACCGCTCCCGAACCGATCCGTACGATGGAGATTTCCACGAAGCATCGAGCTCTCTTCGTAGCTTCGGATTCCGGTGGGTGCATCTGCTCGAAGTTTTAATTTTTCCGGATTTGATCCGATACCCCGATGAATGTCCTTCCCTCACGATCCCCGTCGCGCCAATTCCCTGAGTTTAGACATCTCTCCGATATTTACAGGCGTTGTTCAACTCGACCTGGTCATGTGTCGTACGCGTCACAAGACTTGCAACCAATGCGTCCGAGATCCCTACTGCGGTTGGGATCCCGAGCAACAAGAGTGTAGACCCTACTCTACTGGATTCATCCAAGACGTCGCCGGCGTGATGCCATCCGTCTGCGCAGCGTCTCTGAAACGTCGTGAAACTCGCGCTTTCTGGGGTGAAACGATCCATCTGGCGACTTGTGTCGACCCGCAGCGTCATCCTCAGGGGCAGCCCCCGCAATGGCGTCACAATGGGGTCGAGATCGTCATGGGTCCGCGCAAGTTCCTCACATGGGACGGAGGATTGGTGAGCATCCCTGTAATCTTGGAACGATATGCATGTTTAATTTACCCATTGCCTCCGGCGAAAAAGCATATCTTTCCTCGCCGATCGCCCCTGGTGTTGCTGATCGATGATCGACCGACTGTGTGAGATCTTCGGTCGAGGATCGGCTGGGATCGATCCAGAATTCCAAGAACGAGTTTTCGCTTGCAGGTCATCATGGGGGCAAACCAGCGCGACGCAGGCCGCTACGAGCAGTCTCTGCTCCCTAACGGGGGTCCTATCTGCGCTCATAACGTCACTCTCGATACTCAAACTTGCACGGCTCCCAACGAAGGAGAATACCGAAAAATGTACTCTGAATGGTGCCATGAAATGGAGAGATACAAAACCGCGCGGAAGAGCTGGGAGCAGAAGCAGCAAAAGTGCGCCAACTCGCCGATAAGCCCGAACGACATTGCTTTTAACTCTGTCTGAAGGTGAGTCCATCTCGGAACCAGAACGATGGTCTCAAACCCTTTATTGTCGGTTTATCTGCTTGAGACTTGTTGCGAATCGAGCGGTGACTAATTTAACCCCCACAGGAACTCAACTACTGATCCGCAAAGGATGGCCATCGATTGGTTTTATATCATGATCAACAATTCTACAGATCAAAGTTCAACTGCGAGAACGAGAGTCTCAACAATCAAACTTTCAACGACGTGAAAATCGAAGCCTCCTCGGCCAAAACAAGCGATGCCATATTAGGGCAATAGGGACCCATGACCGAAATCAGTCGCCGGTGAATTAGTTGACTTTCTGTTGTACTCACGGCAATACGAATGTTCCGTGGAGCTGGGATTTGTCGACGAAAGAACAGAGGACTGAACCATTCAGGAGCTGTTTGTCTTGGCGTCCATGATGCCCTTCGCGATTTCCTACCGAGCCTCGTATGCGTCGATTCTGTCCACTAATTCCAGCCACATCGGTCACTCTAGATAGATTTATTCTACCCATCGAATCGTAGTTCACTGGACGGAGGATTCAAGAATTGAAATCTCGCCCGATCGACGGCATGAACGAATGCCAACATCTTGTACATAATTCTCAGAGAGCGAGCAATATTCATTTGATGGGTTCGAAATCATTGGCTAATATCTATATATTAGGTGAGGCTTCTCTTTTTTAGCACTAGCCATAGTTATTGTGATGGAGAAAAAGCGAGAACAGAAGCGATTGATGGTTTCTCAGCCGGTGTAGCGAACCGCGGAGAGCATGGTTTCTAGTGTATTGAAATTCGAGCGCGATCTCGATATGAACTTAAGAACTGTCTTGGTGGATTTTCATTTGAAATAACTTTCTCTGCTGTTTAGGGCAGCAAGGACTTCGCGAAGATCTCTTCCGCAACGATCTGAAAATACCTGAGCTATGACATGCAAACTAGTTATGCTTAGTTTTAAAATACATTATATATTATCGATATATATTCGATTCATTCTCGGCATACAAACGTGTGTTGTTTTTCTTCTCCTTCCTCCTACCTCGAGCCGGTCGCCAGGAGCCGTACTTGCCTGCGCCACGGAAGTTAGGTCCGGCTTCCGGCCGGCCATGACCCAAGGAAGCCATTCCGATACTGATCCGAAGGGAACCATGAACTCTTTGTTTCCGTAGGAAGCGGCCGGCTGTCGGATCCGAGATCACGACCTCCAGCTCGAAGGAACGTCAACGTGGCGATCAGATCCGCACGTAACGTCCGAACCGCTGAGATATCCCCTCTTTCTCGTCCGATTTGTATTCAATCGAGAAATAAAACAGCGCCTATAACATTAAAACATCACCTCGACGCCGTGTTTCAACTCAAGTCTTTTCCGCAGAACTTCCAGGACACTTCGAGCGAATATCGAATCGAACGGCTGAGAGATGAAGGATACCATCGAGTACGATCTTTTGGAAGCTCATGGCTCTCAATTTATTAAAGAAAGATGACTTCGCTTGAGCACGATTTGATTCAGATGTATCACAGATTCAACGAGTTCTCTTGGTGAGATTGAGACAGGAGCTCAGCCGTAGAGACCGACTCCCTGACCGTAGCCGCCGTATCCTAATCCACCGGCACCGCCGTATCCCAGTCCGCCGGCACCGCCGTAACCACCCTGGCCGAAACCGCCGTAGTTCCCGTAGGATCCGCTTTGCCGGAAGGAGCCGAAGTTTCCGTAGTTCGCACCGCCGTATCCTCCACCGTAACCACCGTATCCGAATCCCCCGAGTCCACCGTATCCAAGACCCTGTCCGAGACCTTGTCCGAAGCCGATTCCGGCTCCGGGAAAGATCTTTCCATCGACGCTCTCAGTGGCCTTTTCCGAAGATTTTGCGATCACTGAGGCTTCCTTTGAAGCTTTGCTGTCTTCGGCGACAGGTGCGGCGATAGCGGCCATCACGAGCGCTGCGCACAGAGCAATCTTGAACTGAAATTGGAAAACTCTCGATTTTAGTCTCATCAATGAGCTCGGTTCTGTCACCGTAGATCGGACCGAGAATGAGTCCTCAAAGCTCACCATGCGAGCCATTGCCTTGTTTGCTGTGAGTTGCTGTCTCGGTCAGATGAGAATGATGCCGGTTCGGGTTCGGCTCGCTTGTTTTATACACCGGCACCGAACACACTGCGTCATATTCGGTAACCGACGCGCTGCCAGAAGCCCTGCGAGAAGGGGACTGCCGTTCCTGAAAAAATAAACACGGCAAGGGGCTGTCCCGACGTCTCCGCTAGCTGAGATAATTCGAAACTAAGAGGCCGGTACTGCATCGCCCTCTCTGAGAAAATACAGTTCTAGGATCTTCCCAGAACTTGGACTATTTCGCTCAATGTTTCCCCGAATTAATGAGGTATTATTTCTAGAAGTCGTTTCCGTTAAATCTTAACGGATTCCCGGAGAATCGTACGGAGTTCAGATCGAGCAACCGCAATATCCATTTGATTCGATAGGTCCCGAGTGAGGACTTCCTTCTGGGAGGAGGATCAATCTTGAACGAAGTGAAAAACTCCGCAGCACCGGAATTTACGCTCCCTTTTACGTCCCGATCGGGAACGGCTCTAGGCTTCTCTTCGGAGCCGTGATCCGGGGTGTGTCGATGGATTTTGCACCTGATGTAAGAGGCTGATCATCGGATAAATCCCCGAGAATCGCAGATAGTTTGCCTTTAACAGCAGCCTTGCAAAACTCAACGAAGTTTCGGAATTTTCACGGTGATGTACATGGTTCGGTTGTGGGGAGGAGGCCGCCGGAGAGACAGTCCTGATGCTAGATGATCTTGTAGAAAGTCCAATTGACGCTCCGGTATGCGACCCCCGCCCAAAACGGGCGTTGAATGAACCATTCCACACCTAGAGCTATCGGATCTCCTGCATCATGGATTCGGAACCCCAGGAACGGATAACGAATATCGAAAGACTCCAAGAGAGACGTACTGCGAAGCAATCGGTCGCGACATTTTCAGGTCTCGATGAGCTCGGAGCAATCTACACTCAGCGGCTCTTCTTTGGCGAAAATCATTTATTCCACAGTGCTCGAACTGGCCTGGAAGTCAGCCTTTATTCTGAGTACAGATATATTCCTCCGACCCGCGGCCGCGAACTCCCTTGATACCCATTAGGAGAATCTCCCAAAGATCTGAGAGGCTGGATTGAGCGAGGGAAGCTACGGAGTTCTTTACGGCAAGAGTCAAGTCGGAATTATTTCCGACACCTTACCTGACTGCTGTCCGTGACTTCCGACAATTCCGTATCTCGTGGACCGATCGCGTAGCATTATATTCTCTTTCCGAGGAGTCCTCTCGTAGCGGGTGGATCATCCGAATATTCTTGAGTGATGCCAGCAAGGACTAGAATTCAGTCTGAAGGTGTTGAAATCAGATCGTGAATGGTCAGAGAATCTCGGGGAGCTGCTGTGTATGATATCCGAATAGACCGGATACTGTTGGCTCCATGAAAGCTTATCAGGTGCAAGGCCCGGTTTTCTCTCTTGCCTGTCTTCCTTTGAGCTTCGAAGTTACTATTCGATGGCTTCCGCTCCAAATTATGAGACACGAAGCCGTAACTCTCTCCGAGGTCTCCGACGGTTCATTTAGGCTGCTTGTCCTGATGACGCTCCCGAGAAGAATCCCGGATTTCCATCTTCGCAGCGGGAAGAGGGTGACTGGCCGCGACTGATTCGACTCCAGATCTGTGACTGTTTCCCCGGAGCACTCTTTGGAGATTGCTCTACCGATTGTCGAGGAGAGCGTATTATATATATTTCCAAGAGAATGCTCATAAAATTATGATTTCCGTTGCGAATATCAATACAGTTTCGATCTAAATCCTCAATGTTCATACAAATATACAAATTTTTCAGTAGAGAATGTTCATACAGTTTTATTTTAACAGAGGATGTTCACACAGCATAACTCCACTTGAGAACGATCGAACATTTATGATTTTCATTGCGAATGGTCATAGTTCAATAGACAATGCTCTTACAATGATAAATTCAGCGAAGCATTGAAGGCATAATAATACGTGGGCAAGAGCGTACAATGATGATATCCGTTCCGAATTTTTATTCATCAGAGTAGCTTTCATTGATCAGCAGTGGCGCACTTCAAGTTTTAGCGATATATCACAGATCAATTTACAGATAGCTCAGCGTGAACTCCATCTAATAGTAAAGTCCGACCCCATGTCCGTAGCCACCGAAACCTCCATGACCTCCATAACCGCCTCCGTAGCCGCCTTGTCCGAAGGATCCGTAGTTGCCGAATGTTCCGGTTTGCTTGAAGGAACCGTAGCTACCGTGGCTACCGCCGGCAAACCCGCCACCATAACCTCCGCCATATCCGCCGTACCCGAACCCCCCCAAGCCACCCAGTCCACCGTAGCCAAGCCCAAATCCGATGGGGTTGCCAATCCCGAAACCTGGACCGGGACCGAAGAAGCTCTTTGCATCCACACCTTTTTTCTTGCCGTAGTTGGCATCGACTTGCCGATCTACCTTATCCTCGGGCTTGCTCTCACTCACAGGAACAGCAGCGACCAGGCCATCGAAATCAGGATGTCCCTCGGGAGCCGGGGCGCCGCGAGCTGCCACAACAAGGGTAACGCACAGAAGGGTCTTGAGCTATCGAATAAGTTTAGGTTACTGCCTATCGTTCGGAAATCCTGGTCTCAGCGCTTTCCCGAATGGAGGATATTCGGGAAGGAACACAGGTCACCGGTCGAGGTAATTCGAATACGGATGATCCCTGTCGCTCACCAGCTGAAACATGACGCTCTCGACGACGTCTCGGTAGAAGAAGTGACGGCTGCTGCTCGGTCAGCGTTTTATTTATATAAAATATATGTGGTCTCCGTAGTGTCAGATTCGGTGAGCATCGACTCCGTCAGAAGCAGGGAAGCCGCGAGAGCGATCTGACAGAAAGTGGAAAAGAATCTCACGAGGTGGAGAAATGCTGATCTCTCCATCCTCAGTGCTTTGATCTTCTGAGGCAGTCTGGAGTATAATTTGCCGCACAGCCCGTACGCGTTCCGATCAGTATCCCCGAGCGCGTAGCAGAACGCCGGGCGCTGGGCGATTCCGTGGAAGTCGGACTCAACTTCACCGGAAGCGTTTCTACCAGAAACGTGTAACCGGTTCGCGACTGACGGCTCCCATGTCGTGATGATGTTCTGATGAAGCTCGACTGGGACATTATTTTCTGGATGTAATATTGTGCTTACCGAACTCGCTGCATCTGAGATGAGTTGCGCTCGACTCTCTTTGTCCACAATCTCCACGGGCTGCCTTTCCATCTGATCCCATCTGTCGAAGTGATAGATGGAGAAACTCCATAAGCAGTTCCTCATGCTGATTACGCTCCCGCAGCACGTACAGAGCACCCTCGTACGATTGTAGAGAAAGGTTTGTTCGATCTCGTTGATTCCCCCATCTTCTTCAAGTACATTGAGATGATCGAGCTGCTTTCGGCAAAGTCTGCATAGCTTCTGCAAAGGCCGTGAGTCGGCGAAATAGATGGGAAACCACGCAATGTAGGTATTTACGGAATGAGAGGTCTCGAGAGACTGTCATTGACTTGGACTGAGCTGAGGTTGCCTTGGGCTTCGGTGGGTACACCGGAGCTTCCAGGATGCTTCGTGTCGGAAATACACCTTTAATATTGTTTGTATCCGAACATGACTCGAGAGCGGTGGCGGAAGTCTTTGGAGGAGATGGATAAACATTCTCAGCCACGACGGCGGTCAGGCTCGTCTAATCAAGCATCAAATGCCAAGGACAGGTGAATGAGAAGTCCGTAGGAAGAGACCTTGGGACTGTTATTGTAAGCAAGGAGTTGATCATGTCAATGCACTTTGATTCGGCTGCTCTCAAAGATCACTTCCCGATGTTCTGTAATCTCGCGGCCGCTGATTGAGCGCTTGTATCATGCTTCGCATCAGGTGCAGGGGGACATCATGCTTCCCTGGGGACAACAGACTCTCGATTTCCTCGGTTTCCAGAGAGAAGGCTTCGTCACCGCCAGCGATTCTTGACCGCCTTTCGGGACGTTTTGGTGAGGCGTCAGGATGGAACGCTCCTGATTCCCCGGAATATTATGGGTCTCGAAGATTGACCGCGTAAACTTTTACTACCAATCCGTGGGTTTCTCTGAGTGAGTGTAGGAAAAGTCAAATTCAAAATTCTGCTTAGTCGCTAATGATCGCTGGAGCGCTCCCAACATTCACCTGGATTCGACTCAGTCACCCTCCTCGATCGACACGACCAGAAGGGGAATTCTCTCCAATCGATGTTTTTCTGAATCATCTCATCTGATCGTAATAAATTCTTTCTCCGACGGCGGATCCTCTTCGAATTATGCGACCTCTAAATGCAGGAGTATTTTCTCCCGTCCGGAAATCGACTCTCAGCGATATTTCCCCGTCTGTTTCTCGGCGGCTTTCCGGCATCAACTCACCCGAATCGTCGCCACGACTGCATCCGTAAATGTTTACATACAAAGGGGGCATCAACCCCGAAAAGAACCGGTACGACGGTTTCCATGCTAGCTCCGCCTCGAATCTTGGTCTTCGACGCTCCCAGAAAGCTACTCAGTGCCAATGCCGAGGACTTTTCACAGATGTACGTCATATTCCGTGGGGGTTCATCAATACGACGAGGAGGGTTATGGATTATTCGTGATCCTCCTTCATGTCTACACGTTTCCATTTTACACACGAGCGACCCTGAATCACAGGCGAGTTTTCTTAGCAGATGCTTCGGGTCTCATACTCCCACTTTCCGGGGGCGTATACCCCAGAATACCTGGAGGCATCCTAACTCTGGCTCCGCCCTCCTCCCCAAACCTCGAGGCTCATCTGCGGAATCAAGGGCCTCCCTCGACCGGGAAGATCCCGCTTTCTTCCCGCATAGCAAATCCTGACCCTGCTGGAGAGAGATTTCTCAGAATTGAGAACTGAACTTCTGCGAATTCGTCGCGACTCTTCAAAGCATTGTCGCTTCTCTCTCGCTCTTATCAGTTCCATCCGTTTTGACCCGATCCAGAAAATCGAAGGCGTGTTCTTTCCATAGAAGAAATGACGTCATCTTATCTTTCCGCTCGGATTCAGTTCATCTTTCGCTTTCGCGCTGGCGTCCGCCGTAACATTACGCTCCACGATGGCGTTATGACGTAATGACGATGCGACCGATAATCACTCTGATGTTGATGAGGTCCCCGCCGGAGGGAGGACGGGGACCTCATCGTCCTCATTCGACTGTACATTTAGTCAAACGTTCCTCCCCGGCAATGGACTTGCTCCGATTGAATGATGATGGATGATCGGTGTTGAGTGGTACTTGAGCTTTTCCGAGTTTCCCAGGGGCACGGATAAGTTCCGCTCTCTGAGAGAATCGCTCCGATAATGTTATGCGTGATTCCCGCTGAGCGAGCCTTAATTCGATATTTGTCCAGTCTCCCCAAGCGAGTCAGGGAGATGGGTGAAGGGGAGGAACTTAGTAGACCAGCTAGCAAGGAAGTTCAAAAAAAACACTCCGGAAAAGACGGAATGGGAGAGCTGATATTCTGGTCATTGTCTATCTTCACGAGCGGGAACATGGATGGGTATTCATTTCTCGCATGTTCTGAGAGCAGCTCTGGGGAGTGTCGCTCTCGTGCAGCGGATCGGGTTGGGGTCCCCCTTCCCCGCAACGGAATCCCGAATCGGCTATTCTAGGCAGCATCTTGCGATTCTCAAACCAGAGAGAATCGGCTGAGCGCGGTTCCTCAGGCCTTCCGTAAGTACACCTCGAGGAAGTTCAACAGCCTCTACCGAACATCCCATGGCTCGACAATGAAGCTCGAAGCATCGAGGAATCACAGAATAAACATTTATTAAGTCATTCATCCAACGAATTCGCACAGATTGTCGAACCAGCCACTGGTCACAGAGGAGAGGTTGAGTGCTACTCGACGAAAGGTGTACGATCCAAAACCAACCTACCACAGCGTCGCGAGGAGCGATGACGTTGTTGGAATTCCAGAGAGGTCTGGGCGGGTTCTGAGTGCGGCATCTGAAATGACTTGCGGCTCTCCTTCGGGTATCTCAGGCCATATAGAGCTGAGGTAGGAGTCGCGGATTCTGTGGAGCAGTTTTGAGAATTCGTTCTGCAGACGGACGGCATCCTCAGCCACGCGAAGTAGTTGGGAAGCTGCAAAACAAAAAGAGGAACCTGCGATTTCTGGATATCGATCGGAAAGAATCGACGTCGGGTCAAACAGCCACGCAAATCCGAGTACTAACCGTAGAGCATGGGCACAATGTCCTGATGAAGAGGTTTCACTCGTTCGATGATATCGATACACTCCTGAACAATTGCCAGGTCTTCGTACGGAGAACCAACTTTCAGAGTGTAGCGAGGTTTCTTTGCTTTCCTGATTTGCTTGTTCGTCTGGAGCGTCGTTATGCTCCCGCTCTTCGCCGAGCTCGCCGCGGATCTTCGCCCGGAAGCCCCGCTGATCATGCTACCGGCTTCCGACATGGGAAAATCCGAGTCATCGTAGAAGTTTATACGATCCGCTTCTCGAGAAACTTTCGTTTCCCGCACTTCACTTAGTCGCTTAACGAAATTATCGAGTTTCATCGATAGATAGCAAACCCTCTCCTCTGAGACCTTGATTTGCGAGAGCAGGGTGTCCTCGAGATACTGCCGCTGGTAATCCTGCCGGTCCGAGGGGACGAGGTGTAGATTACAGAAAGCTTCCTCCCAGCAACCGCCATCGATGAATGTGGAGCACACGTCTTCCGCGGGATAGTTGAATCGTTTCATCAGCGCACCGGCTTCTCCGTTTCTCTTGAGAGACACGAGCGTCGCGATGATTCGCTTCACGATCGGCTCCAATGGCTTGCGGGCCAAACGAGAGGCCTCCAAGCAGAGCTCGACGCAGAGGGCTCTCTCGAAGCACTGTGAAGCCCTCTGGTATTCTCGAGCCTGCATGAACATGATCGCGGCATCCTTACAGTATTTTTTCGCGAACAAATATTCGGCGTGAGCCGACGCCAAAGCTTGCGATTCGAGCGAGTGTCGAGGGAATAAACTCCGGCTTTTGTTGTGAAGTCTCTCCTTGATTACAAGTTCCAAACACTCGGCGAAATGATCGGGACACTTCGCGATGTTCTTCAGAGCCTTCTCGTAGCGTTTGAGATGGAGATCGATTTTGTAATTCCGATAGTTCTCATCTTCATACGATTTCATTTCTCTGAGTAGCGCGAGGTACTCTTTCGGATCCACCTGTGAGAATTGGGCCACTTTGAGGAATAATTTGAAGTCGTATAGCCCCAACGCCACGTCCATGAGCTGTTTTACATCGACGAGCAGCAGAAGATACTTGAGCGCTTCGTCGAAACGCTCCTCGTCCTTGCTGATCCACTGCAGAGCTTCCTCTAGATCTTCGACTTTGTTTTTCTTCGCATGACAAGCGATCACGCTCAAGTGGAGCTTTTGAGCGTCTTTTCGCAGGCACACGTCGCGTATCGTATCGCATATCTGAGCGATGTCCTTGACCGCCAGATTTTTCGGCCTCTGCAGCAAAGAGTAATAGCTTTTGTACATTGTTTTGGTTACATCCTCTTCCTTGAGATCCATGACGAGTAGGTTAAGATCGGCGCTATTGCAGATCTGATCCACAATGTCTTCGACCCTTCCGTTGAACGCATCTGGATCGTCGTCGTAGAACAGGTTCAGATTGATGCGGTTGACTTTCATCAGCCTGAAGGCCTCCGCGAATTTCCCCCGAGAAAGTTGCTCGTGGATATCGCGCAGGAGGAGAGGTCGAGGATAAATGGTTTCCAGGTTCCCTCGCGGCATTTGGAGAATGACCCTGCCGTCTGTTGGCACCGAAGTGACCAGGAGACTACCGATTTCGAGCTGTCGACTATCACAACAATTGTTTTGCTCGCAGATCAATGGGTAAGTCCGAAGGGTGTTGTCCAGGGTAGTGACCAGAATGAACGCGTCATCGTGAAGTACAACGGATGAAGCGGAAGCGCACAGTTCTTGGTCATTGAGATAAACGATTCGCTCCGAAGCGTTGAAACCGACATTAATCTGCTTCCTTGCACAACATAGCAGCTGTTCGATTTTTCCCATGAAACTGGGATGAGCCCCCAAGGTTTCGAGTTCATTCGAGAACTGTGTAATCGACTTTTTGAATTTCACCCAAATGCTCGCATCGGACACGCAGAGACATTCAGGGGATTCCGCCAATTCGACATATTTGTCCACAGTTTCGCCCGCAAGGTCGATTGTGATCAGACGATGAGAACCGTCGGAGCTGTGAACGGCCAGTACTTTGGTCTCATTCAAACAAGTCAGATGAATTAAGGAGTTGCGGAACTGATCCGGCAAGAGAAAACCTTTGCGTACGCCATCTCGATCGAGAAAATGGATAGAACCGTCTGCGGTCAGCGCTACCGTCAAATGTTCCGAGAGAGCGACCTGATTGACGGGTTGCGGTAGGACAAGAGTCGAGCCAGCCATTGGGGGTGGGATGATGCATTTCGAGAGGTCGGTCACTAGTAGACGATCCCCGTCGATACTTGCCACTGAGCCGCTACCGTCGTGATCGACGGAGAAGACCCATCTGAGGAGAAGAAAAATGTTCCTCATTCGTTGTCCGCGGTCTGAGCTCATCGTTCGCGCGACAGAATACGTTTGTAGAACACGAAGAACATAGAAGCTCACTTGTAGTGGTAATGTCTCTCGCCGGCCAATATTCTGAGGTTCTCGTGGGAGTCCCAGATAATGCCTCGTACCCTCCGCTGGAATTTGAGGGTTTGCTTCGGGTACCAGTGATAGTTGTTCATGGTGTACACCAAGATGACGTCGCTGTCCTCTTCGCTGCACCATAGAGTCAGAACCCTCACGGCCTTCATGGTCCCCTGAGATATATCTCTGACCACGTAGTTCCGCGGTAATTCGAATTCGCCGTGACGGAGACCGTTGGTTTCATAGAAGACTACCCTCCTCTGACCCTGCAAATGACCCAATCGACTGAATTCCGCTGCCTCGGGTGATGCCTGAGTCCCTGGTAAGGTCCGTCGGGGCAAATACGAGACTGAGGAAGTGAGGAACCAATCGCAGACCTTACCTTCTCGGAGGTATCGGTGGATACGATGAGGTTCTCGTCGCCCCACCACCAGGCGAGCCCACCGTGTAGTCTCGGGATGTTCTCGGCCGTATACCCCAGGATTCCATCCCGAGACCACACGCGAATTTTCCTGCAAGGAAAAATCTCACGTTTTATTCTTGCTGACTTCCCTCGCGGCGTTCCACCGAGCTGTGATTTGCGCGGGAGGACACTCTTCTCACCGCATGTTTTCATGAACGGTGTCGGCGAAATGCTGTCCATCTGTTCTCCAAACAACGTAAGAGCTTCGATCATCGAAATCCGCCACAGCCTGGCGCTGTACAGCCAGCGTTTTTGCCGCTTTTTTCCCCTCGGATCCGTGGAATTGGGTTTCTTTCTTGCCTGATTCGTGTGGGAGAGCATTGTAGTGCTTAGCTTCGAGCCGTGCTCTCACATAGGAGCCATAGACATGAACGATAATAATGATCATATCGGATGTGGAAGCTGACCCCAGCCGACGGTTATTGCACTCTTCTCGCCGAGTTCCTCAGTCTCCAACTCCTGCTCGACAACCGTGTCGAAATTCTCTCGCATCAGTAAGAGCTGACCCTTTCCAGTTACGACTACCAGAAGTTCCAGATCGGGAGACCATTTAGCGCACTGAATTCCGCCGAAAATGTCCCCGACGTTCTCAACGGAGCCATTTTCCAATTGGCAGGTCACCTATAACGGAAGAACGCGGCGTTCGTAAGGTCGACGTCGGTCCTTTGACGGAAATGAAGATGATCGAAGAACTTCGCAATTGACGGAACGGGAAAATACGTACGATTTGTCCCATCTTGGAAGCCGCGCAGAATTTTCCGAAAATTGCCTCGAAGGAAACCACCTCATCCTCGTCCATGTCGAAGAGGTCCATAACTTCAAGCCATTGGCCACCTTCGAGCTTCCATAATTTTCGGCCGCACGCTGCCGCCAAGTTTCCCTGCGTATTCTCGGTAACTATGCACCTGCCGTCCCCCGGAACACCGGGGACAGCATTGTGTTCTGATAGCTTTAGGTTCCTCATGACGACTTGCTTGAGCTCGGATTTCCACTAGGCGCTGTCAGCTCCTCTGCACAAGACTACTTCTTTCAGCTGTTCGCGCGTTTCCTCGTTCCATGCCACCACATGGGTTTTGAACGTTTGTATGGCGCTGATGGTGCTGATCTTTGCTTCAAACAAAAAATGGAGAGTCCCCATGACGTAGAATGTGCCAAAATCTCTCCGAGGTAGAGAGGTAAAGGGAGGTGATATTATTTTCTCGTATCATGGTCTCAGATTTTCCCGGGAGCGTCAAAAGTATGCGAGTTTGTACGTCTCATCCCCCCCGCTGAAATCGGGAGGCATGGTCCTTGCGAAGTTGTAGGTGTTCAGGGTCTGGATTCCTCGTTCCATGCCTCGTTATTCGGGAGAAGATCGGTGCGAGTATTGCTCACGGGCTTGGCTATGAGGAATTTTCTCCCGCTCTCAGCTGACGTTACGACTCGCGATGTAAGCTGCGTCAAAGCGTGTTTGAATTCGAGACACAGGATCCGGCGCGGCTGGAATTCTGACGGCGGGAAGACGGGAGACATAGAAGAAATTCAACTGAGTCCTCTCGGGCATGGAGCGGCACCGCGCCGATTCACCATCAAGCAAGGTATGCGGAGGATCTGGTCCGATTTTCCGTCGGAAAGAGCTCTGTTCTGATTAACCCATGCAATATTTCACCGTACTCCCATCTACTGGGGGAAGCAAGAGGAGTCTGGAGCCTCTTCTAAGCTCGAGTCTGATTCTAGTTACTTCATGGAGGTGATCGTCAGCCCCGCGAATTCTTCCATCGATACCGCGACTCGAATGCCGCCGACATCGTGATGAGGCTCTGAGCCCAACATCCGGTGATGGATCATTTATTGTCGCTCTTGAAGATGGGAGGAGACAAGCACGGGAGTCAAATCTTGCTTTTGCCGCACGAGACGCTACCAGGTCGAGACGATTCTTTTTCGTTGAAACTATTGTAGATCGATCTTCGATTCGTGAAATCAGTGGTCAGGGACTCGTTATTGTTCACCCGTGGCAGGGATGTCGAGGTTGACGATATTCGCCTTTTATTGGATTTAACGATTCATGATGCGACTCCTCGCGGCATCTAGGAAGAAGAAGAGGAAAGAGGAACGTCGATGACTCTGACCGGCCGAGCCATCATCTACGGAGACATAGAGAGGCCAGGTCACGTTGAACGATCAATCAATGCTCATGCCTCATGCCGGAGCATTGTATTCCTCTCATTTGCGAGAGAGTGAAGAATGTATTCCCGTCGGCGTTAGGCAGAGATCATCATCATCTGGAGTAGGTGAACATTCGTCTGCGGAGGCGCGAGGCCGAAGTTGATGGAACAAGGTTCGGCTCCTCTGCGATCCTCTGCGTTAATGTGCAATCCGAGGAACGCTTGCTCAGAGTACAGCGTCCCTGTGTCTCTTAGCGCTGCGTCCTCGCATCCATCGGTCCTCGGGACCGAACTTCGAGTCCCCAATGGCCCCATGACCCCTCGGAAACTAGGAAGAAAGAAGAAATCATCATTATCATCGCCCAATTCGTATCTATTTTCCGCGGTCTATCATTCAGTTTCCGATATTCGATATCGAGGACGAGAGAGGAGTGTTCCGGTGTCACCAAGTATCGGAGTACTGGAATTCCATCGCCCAGGTACTCAAAGTTTTCGATTCCGAGTTTCCTAGGAGATCGTGCGTGGAAGCTCTACAAAGAGACTGACTGAGGGATACGGGTTGACTGTCGGGAAATTCATATCAATCGAGATACTGTCGGGATTCGCGTTCGAATTTCCGGATGCCTCATCTCACTGCAGCTGGGATGAGAAGCTACCTTCTTCGCATGGTCTCAAATCTAAGAGACTTCAGCGAAAGTCGATGGGTCGGACCGTATCAACTCCTCTCGCGCGGAGCGAGCGTTGCGGAACGGCCAGTCCGCCCAATATGCTTGTCGATGGCAGTCGGGGGAAAGGCCTGAGCCGTGTACCGTCCTACGGTTTATCGCACGCTGTAGGCATCATGCACGCCCGTTCCCTTTCCAGGTTGAGCGATGGAGAGCGCTAGAGGTCTGAGCGTGGACGATTCTCTGCTGAACATGATGAGAGACATCACGGTTCAAGACACACGAATCCGCACCGTTGTTCCGACCCCATTCGGTGAAATCCACATTGCGATCGATGGCGACCGCACGAAACCACCTCTCGTAACTTTCCATGAGCTCGCGTTCAATTCCGAAACTACTTTCGACGCTTTCCTTCAGCACCCCTCAGCATCTGCGCTATTCTCGCGTTTCTGTCTTTACCACCTCAATGCGCCGGGTCAGCACGCCGGATGCCGAGAACATGTGGTTGTCCCGGACCTGGAGAAAATTATCGAGAGCATCGGCTACGTTCTCAAAAGTCTCGACATAGCTCAATGCGTCGCTCTGGGCTACGGTGCTGGCGCGTACATCATGACAGGTTTCGCCAATGAGCACCCAGAACATTTATCGGCGCTGATCGTGATAAACGTCGTCACAGACGGCTCGTCATGCCGCGACTACATGGCATTCAATCAGGCCTCAGCAGAAATAGAACGCTTCGGATTGACCGACATGGCGGAAGAAATTTTGTTTCGGTACTTCTGTGGAGAACTAGACTCCTCCTGTTACAAGGAGCTCGTGGCAGCGTTCGTCCACAAGTTCAAGCAGCAGCATCCGACGAATCTCTCTGAATTCGTGCGCGCGTTCGCGAAACGCAAAACCTTGAACCTGGAATTGAAGACTCCCACTCTGGCTGTTTATGGTGGTGCTTCACCAAACGCGAACCAAACGAGACGCAACCTCGCCCGCTTCCCATGCGTCAGACCCTTCCAGATTGCCAATTGCACACTACCCCTCGCTGAAGCACCACACCAGGTGAGCATGCAACAGTTACACTAACGGATTTTCTGTCGAGCTTTTGGCATGGTTCGCTCACACGTAGAGCTTCCGTAGTGCGGAATTCGCTGTTCACTTCGTGATTCGCGGATGCGGCGCCTTGGAAAATCTCTACGCCGTCGCCTGGACGGACGGTGAACGAATAGACGCGCGGATCCCATGAACACTTTTCTTTCAGGTAGCCATGGAGATGACGAATTTCCTCAAGAATATAAGCGGTACATGAATCATCCGAAGTGAGACTCATTCATCTTGCAAGTTTTTGAACTGACGGCTCGCTCGTCATCGTACCTACCTAGTCGTTTTCGTTCTGTAGCTATGGACTCATGTGAATAAATATAGATTTAAAAAATAAAATATATATAAATGAGCGTCCCTCAACGTTGGGACAGAGTGCTCAATGAGATCAAGATAAAGAAGTACATCGAACGCTTGGTTTTATTATTTTAGTGTATATACAAAACGCGTATCTTAAGCCGCCGCACTCACATTCTGGAAATCGACTGCGTTAAACCTCTTCTCCATTACATCTTTGACGGCATCGTAGTTCTTCTCGAAGTCCTCGTTCGCATGGACCAAGACGACAGAACATTGTCGCTTGAGACCCATAGCTCCACCGATATCGTATCTGCTCGGAACATAAATGTACGGGATCTGCAGCTGCTCGCAGAGGATCGGTAGGTGGCAATAGATATCGATGGGAGTGATGTCTCCGGCCAGAATACAAATTCCCTTCTCCCCCTTGCGGAAGGCCCTCTGCACGGCCTTGATTCCACAGGTGAGAGCCGGCTTGGCTTTGGTTTTCGAGCTCTTCCGCTGTTCTCTGAGTTCGTTTTCCTTCTCCGAAGCTTTCTTCAAGAGTTTGTAGATTTTCTTGCAGTCTTTCTCGGTTGCCATCGGTTTCGATATGGCATTGCACGTGGCTACCTTGTCTTCGTAGCTGAGAACGTTTTCGTCTACGATGGTTTCTTCACCGGCGGTGTCTTCGGCCAGCGACTGCAATTCAAATTAAGACGGACACTGAATGATCTGTGACGGAAGGATGGCTCACTCGAAATCGGTTTTCGACCAAACGCCCCCGTTCCTGGCTGCTGCAGCGTCGCGCGAAGCTCTCTGGCTCCGATTCTAACAGGCGACGCCGGCGCCGATGCATGAATCGGTGGTGCCATTACCGTCAGAATTGACACAAACACATACCTTCTTCGATTTCTTCGACAAGGGAGTTTCTTCTCCTTCCAGCTTCCGCTTGCCCATCTCGACAGGAGAACCCAGAAAAATCACCGGAAAAAAAAGAAGAACAAGAGACCTGAAGCTTGGACACTCGTGCGTGTTTGCAGCGCCGCACGTGGGTCTGTGGTGTTTTCTACAACAGCGCCATCGCCCTCACTCTCAGCCAGACGAGCTCTCGGTTCGAACCACAGCTATCATCTTCGGCGGAGCGCGATCGCCTCCCACTAGACCGAAATCTCATCCCACAGGGAACACATCCGGGCTGGAACACTGTTCCTGCCGGGGAATTCCGTGGCGTTTTCCCCAGTCCGATCCAAGGACTACTGTGACGAAGAATCATCAAGGAAAAAACTCGGTACCTCCGTGGTGCTTTAGAATAAACAAGACGCTTAGGTGAGGGTGAAGCGGAAACAGGCAGCCGGTGTTTCGTTTCTGCTCAATCGTCGGAGAAACTTCTGCGGTGGTGATCCGGAACTTCTTTATCTGCGGAACTTGTGCCCGCATTCTCTCGGGATGAGTGTCATCAACGCAATGTCTCACTTGCTGAGCAACTTTGAGGTGATGTCGATTCTCAAAAAGTCACAGGCCGAAGTTCGAGCTTGTAAGAGTTTAGCGACATTGAGCTACGAGACTCTGAAGCACCTCGTCAACAGCCCCGCTTCGAAGCAGAGTGAAGAGGTTGTGCTTAACTTCTTGCAAGAGATGAAGAACTTTCCGAAGCCGTTGACGAAGGCCGAGAAGCTGCAGCTGCTCAATTTGCGGCCCACGAACTTTGCTGAAATTCAGGTGAGTCTGCTCTGATTGATTTTAGTGGTTGTTCTTTCCCCATTCCTGCCGTCTATTTAGAAAGCATTCCGATCACATGGCTCTCCTGCTGCAGCAATCTCATGAGAGCATTCGTGGCGGTCCTCAGGTGATTATCGAGAACATGGAAGAACGACTCTCAGAAGCGGAGCTCGAAGATTTGCTTCAATTAGTCGCCCGAACAATACCCTCGCTCGAAGAAGAGGAGAGTCCGCCGGAGGCCACAGACCTAGCTACTGTAGAAAACTGAATAAACAAGGAAATGCTCGAGATAAGAAGGAGCATGTAGCGTATAGCCGAAAAATATCGAATCGAGGGAGGTCCATCGTCTCCGCACCCTATCTGAAATTCCTTGTTTGTATCTTCTGTCGGGAAGAGGAAAGGACAGATCGAAACACACACACCATGTCACTGGAGGAACTCCTGGAACTGCGATGACAGCAGAGTGCTGCATAGAAACTGAGTTCACAGAAAAGTGTTCGACCATTGGAAATAAGTGCCATCTGGAAGCCTGATGAGCGTGCGTCGAGCTCCTCAACGCTAGAGGCGCCTGACCCCACTCCATACCCACAACGTTCGTGACTGACAGCTGATCGAAGTGCTCTTCACCGAAAAAGCCGCGGAGGACTTAAGTTCATCAGGGACTTCGCTTGAACTCTCCGCGAAAACATGGCTTCAGCCATCCAGTACGTCGATGAGCTCGTCCGCGACTACCTGCTGTATCGAGGATTCGTTGCCACCTTGAAATCTTTTGAGGTGGATCAGAAGAACGACAAAACTCGAGCCTTGAGACCGGATAAAATCGTCGAAAACATGGCAAGCTGCATCGACGCTGGAGATCTCGAAGCACTCAGAGACACTTGGCACCACCTGGACAATCAAATATTCCGGAGGCTCGAGCACTCATATCAGAACCCTGTCCGCAAGATGGAATTCGGCGTGTACCGGCTCTATTTAGTTACCTGCATATCGACCGGGAAGTTGGATAAAGTCTCAGACTTCTTCGAGAAGATGACGCCTGAAATCCAGGGCCAACCCGAATGGAAAGAATGGTTCGTCCTGCCTTTCATAAAAGCTCCGGAGGAGAACCCTGTTTTTCAACTGTACTTCACTCGACATTGGCAGGAATCTCTGATGGTGTCCCTGAGGAATCTCCTATCAGTCGTTTTCCAGAACGCACCATTACCAACATTATTGCAGTACGAGGAAGACGCAAACCGAATCAAGGAGCTAGCTGAGGAGAACGAGCAACTCAAAAAGCAGCTTAGTGCTCTGCGAGGAGATGAGTCGCAGCGCAAAACCGAGTTCAGCCCCGATCACGCTTTGCGAGCTCCAGACGAACTGATAGATGATTTTTACGTGATTGCGCAGAGCTCACAGAACAAATGAGTTGGAGCACCCAGTAAAGTCACCTGGTTATGTGAACCTAGGTAGGAACCTGCTCGAAGCGGCATCACAACACCAAAGTTTTTTTCCAAGCACCAGCACCGGTGGCAGGACCGATTTTCCATGTCCAAGTGAAGATTTTACTTTCCATTGTAATTATTGTATTTATCATACTAGGGCTATACAACCCTACTGTAACTCAAGTCTCTCAGGAGACGGCTCCGAGATGAGTGTTACTCTGAGGAATGACAATAACGAGAGAAGAAATGACGCGCTCAACCCTGAAAGAAAGAGTTTCTTCATTGAGCGCCTCCTCAATTCGAGGTCTGGAGTCGAAAGGAAGCGGGGTAAACGAAGCTTGATTCCGTTATCTGCGAACCCGAGAGGAGTTGTGTGAGGACGCTCCCGCTGTAACACTGACTGCTTTGCTGCCAGTGTTTCCCAAGTGAACCATCCTGTCGATTCGGAATGGAGCGGGTGAGGGATATGTCCCATTCACCTCACGACAGGCTTGGAGAGGAGGCCGAGATACTCGGAGCGGAGATTGCTCCCAGAAGCTCAAGAACAAGGTGCAAGCGCGGAGCACCTATCGACGCAGCCCGAACGGAATGGTATCATCTCCCCAGAGGTTCCCTGATTTGAATCACCATTATGGTTATTTGTATATTCATTCGCATTGAGGCTCGCGGTTCCGGTTTGAGCGATAGAGGGCTGCCCAAACACATGCCTCAGCAGAGTCTCATCGGATATCATGTTGAGGAACCGGAAGCGATAAAATTACGGAGAGATTAGGGGGTTTCTCTTCCAGATTCAAGTCTCCGTCTCCGATTTCCCTCGAGACTCCCCGACTCGATACGTACCGTGGGTTTGTAGAGACTCGGCACTTCATAGAATGCTTTGGATACGAATGATCACGGTGCGCGGTGCTTCAGCAGTGGATTTGGGATAAACTGCGGGGAGGCTTCCAATGAATGATCGGACCCTGATCCGCTTCTCGCTCGGACACTATTCGACGATTCATTTCAATTGCTGCTCAATTATTCTGACCCATCAGGCCCTGCGTGGAGACGCCCCAGGACAGCCGTCTGAGGAGGGTTGAGTCTTACAGGCCCCGAGGTGTGGGGCCGAGGAAAGACAAGATGACGTACGTAGTGCATCAAAGCCTGCCGCTGAGGGAGGACTCTCATTATTCGACGCTCAAATGACGCTCGGGTTATTTTTAACCCTCCGGAAAGTATTCGAACAAACGAGTGGAGTTTCCCCTCGCGTCGAACCAGATGTGGGTTTTTGCAGTCCTCATCTAGAGGTGCGCAGTATTAATTGTTCAACTTTTTAATAAGCTAGCGACGCCGATCATCATTACGACGCGACTAGCTGCACTCCGCTCACCGCGGAAACTTTCTCGACGCAATTATGCTACAGATGGCGCGCTCGGAGCTTTTCTCATTACCTGTCCGATTCTGCAAATTAAAGTTTGACTTTTCGCTTCTTCTTCTTCTGTTTCCCCGCCGATTCGGGTGCTCTCCCCCGTTTCCATCACGAGGACTCTCCCAGCGAAGATCAGTCTCCGCGACAATTCTCCAATCCTTATAATTTTTCACCTAACCGACAGTCAGATGATCGATTGGAGATGGAAACGGTGACGGAAGACGCTCTCACCCGGCGAGTATGTCTTAGCCTCGGGTCTGTGCGCGCAACCGAATGTCATTCATGGATCTCGATGAAGAGCTCCAGGTTCCGTCCGGAAATGTTCAGCTCTCTGCTCAACTGGCGTAGAATGTTCTGTGTCTCCATGACAGCGGGTTCGTTCATCAACCTCTCGTTTCTGCTGGTGTGTTTCGCAGCACTCGAAGAGGATAGCAGCTCGACCGATGCACTCGGGTCCATGGTGTCGACGACCCTGCGAAATCATAGCCGATTCGGCTCTCGAGGTAGAACCAAGAAGCTGGTGGCCATCGCCAACTCCGGGAACCGTTTGGTGAAATACTATGACGTTTTCAATAGAAACGGATCTCGAGATGAGGACATACTGTCTCTAGTCGAGCAATTCTGGAGAAAACGAGTTCCGGGGCCCGACGTCGACGTGTGGAAAATCATGAAGAAAACTAAACTTGTGCGACACTTCGGGGAACGAAAGAGCAACCAGACGCGCCCGAGAAGATATCGAATCCCGAATAAGCGGAACCGATTGGAGAATTTCGTTGATATCAAACGCTGCGAACCGAGTAGGGTGCGCACCTCCGTCGCGATTTGTGAGAGCATCAAGAAAACAGCTCTCTCTCTCGTCGCGAGAACTGCGAATCGGTGTTTGTGAGTATCGGTGTTGGTGAGGGTTTACTCAATCCGGAGGCGCTCTCAAGGTCGTCAAGAGACTACATTCGAACTCTTGAGGGCGAATTCGAGAGGTTTTCGAAGAATTCCCGACATGCATCCAGCAGCACCGTATGCTATAAACTCCGTCCTTGGATCTAGCTTCCTCGAGCAATTCGACAACTGTATCCAATTGCTGGCATACGCCACTCAATGTCGCGCCTGGGTGATTCGACGATCGTTCGGCTTCATGGATATCTCTGTCGGAATCTCTCATGAGATCGCTTCCCAGTGCTCGAACACAAGTGAGTTCTTCTCTGAGCTTGCGTTTTAATTGGATAGGGGACGTCGCTTCCAGGATGTGCGATGAGAGAATTTCATCGAGAGAGAGAAACACTCCCCTAAGCTGAAAACTTTGCCACAAGGCCGCCTGTATTCTCATCGAGGTTTGGTTCTGCCAGTCCAGATTTAGCTCCTTGAATCTAAGGATGAACTTCGATTACATTAGTTACCCCCGGTATGCCCGCCAATCTCCTCGCTTTCAGCCAAGTTTTTCGGTCCCCGTTCTCAGAGGTGAATGTTGTCATTCTGATGGTAATCGAGAAAATCGATGAATGAACACGATAATGCACTTTGGATTCTAGAAGACTTTTCAGTTGATATGAAGGAATCACGGTCTCGTCGGCGGGTTTTACGAACGAGATGCGTACGACAGGAACTGACACTATCCAGTATTCTTTGAGACACCTAATAAGCAGTTCCCATCGGCCGCGGCGGGAGCCAGCTTTAGCTGGTCAAATTGGACGAGAGATATATTGACATACTCACCGAGTTTTCGTCTGGATAGAGCTCTGGGTGCAGACAGATGGGAAAAAAGGGCTCTCGACGGTCCCTCTCTCCTCGGTCCCCGAGATAGGCGCTACGGTTTATCCAACAGATCCGCGTTCTGTCGTCTACAGCAGAGCCCTTTTCATCGAATCGCTCTCCTCGAACGCCTCGGCTCAAAGATTTTCGACTTCTCGATTCAGGAATCTCTTCTTCGAGGACCGAGGCTCTCCTCTCAGGCCGATGGTGCTTCTCCTCTCACGGTCTATCGCTATCTATTTCTCTTCATTGCGTCTGCTCCGCTCTGACTCCAATTCCTTCCTTCTCTCTGGAGGAGAAGTTCTGCGTACTTTTTAATATTTGATCTGAATTCGGAAGCATCGGGGGAGAGTGCGGACGCAGAACAGCGTGGAGACGGCTTGTAAGGGATCGAAACGAGATTTCCAACTGCGAGCACTGCTCAACAGATCGACGGAAGTGTGCCATCAACTAACAATGAGGCTGATGTCAAAATTCTATTCTCAGATGTGGAGCCCCTTGCGGAGAACCTTTGAAGGAGCCGACTGTCTGACAACAGGTCAAGCTCATCGATTCCACCCCATGCCTGGGACGGAATCGTCTGTTCTCGGATCAAATACAAGTGGTCAAATACAATTATGAAATGCCGATCTCCCGATTTGAGGTTTCGTTTTGCGCAGCAGCGAACACGATAGGCTGGTCAGATGGTGGCTGTCGGATTCGTCACACGGAAGCCAACCTCGACTTTGAGAAAAGAAAATTCTGTCAAGCTGAAGGTTGCAAAGTGAAATTTCGTCGATTCTGCTGTCACATGTGACAAATGGCTACCGGATTCACGACGCTCGATAAGACGAGAGAACGCTTGACTTCTCAGATCCTCGACCCGCTCATGTCAGCTTCACCGCATCCGATAATAATTCGGCTATTTCGGGACGCGCAGATGGAGACCGCTCCACAGAGCCGAAGGGCTTCTGAATCAATGTAGAATAAAAAAGAGGATTCATACGAATAATAGAGCAATGATAATCACGCGCATCGATACCGAGATACATGCTCTTGGCCCGCTGTAATCGAGTTTTCCCGCAAACTGTCTAAAAAATTTCCTCATTCGCCTGTCCAATCCACATCCTTTGATGTGTTTCAAAGGACTTCGTGGGGAGGGCGAAGTGCGTACCCGGAAACGTAGATCCAGGGCCTCGCCTGTCCCCCCTCCTGTGCAGTCCCTTTACTCAACGAGCGCGAATGAGAAACGAATACTCTCCGAGTAGATCGGGATCTCCTTGCTCGAGAATCTTTCATCCACAGAAAATAGTTTCAGCTAGACTCGAAATGTTGTGAGGAGGAGAGCTCCACAGTCCCGAGAACGCAGCGCGAAGAAAGGTGAGTTCCCACACAATCTGGAACGATCCTTCCCCGCGTCGTCTGGAGCATTCGGAGCTCGAGGTGGCTCCCGAGGTTCCCCGAACAGCGGGTCCAGATAATCGCACGCTTCGGGGAGGGGAGCAAACCTTCACGCAGGGATACTCGACCGAGAAACTCTCTCGGACCGCCACTATGATTGAAGCTCCCTAATGCACGTCTCCCAAGCGCCCCAGCGATTAGAGGGGGGAACTATCCGTCGCGATTCCCGTCAGTCACCCGAGATGGTCTACACAGTCTATGCCATGAAATTCGGGAATGGATTACGCATACATCCTGAACGATGTCTTGAGACCTCTCCGACTTTCGACTAATCCATGACGAGGATTGGGACCTCCTCCGTACGCCAATCCAGTCTCGGCTCAGCGTGGCAAGAACACAATCGATCCCTGAATCGGTCTCGCAGTCGGAGAGCCGAGTCCGGCGAAAATTTGGGTTTGTTCCTCAAGACGCTCCCCATGTGTCATGTCCCATTCTCCTGCGACGTCTCCTCCAGTACCCTCCTCGCTCCGATGATCAGCCAGCCAATCGACCAGCCAAGCAAGCGCCGGCCGACAGACCTACGGACAGCAAAGTCCCCATGGAACTTATCAGATCTGCGCTTTCCTTCGAATCAGGTATTTAATGAGGCACAGATGGAACGACTTCA